AGCAATTACCACGTGGCAGGTATCAGGGTAATTGATCATCTCCTTTACTCCCAAAGTAATCCCATTTTCAAGAGGAGAACACTGAGACTCAGAGACATTAAGAAGCTTCCCCAAGGTTACAAAAAGGTTGAGCTGGATTCAAGCCTAGGTTGATTCAAGCCTAGAAGCTGATGCTTTTAAATACTACATTGTGTTGCATCAACCATCTCTAATTGCTTCTAACTTCAATATTACATGACCATTATTTGCAAAAAAAAAAAAAGTAAAACATGAATACAAAGAGTTTGGTTTTTACATTAATAATTGAGGTTAAAGGTGCACAGTAGAATGATACACTGATTCCACCTGGGGAAATGTAGGAAGACTTCCTGGATAAGGGAGCATATAGCTGAAGATTTCCTCACACAAGGGGAGAGTAAGAGTATTCCAGGTTGAGAACTATGTGAGTGGTTACAGAGCAGTAAATACTCATGTATATGCAGGAACAAGGGGAAGGTGAGTAAGAATAAAGCCTTGAAAAGTCAGCCCCAGTCAGATTGTAGCTTGCCTTCAGAGTCATGCTAAGGACCCTAGACGTTACAGAAAATGGGCAGCTATTGAAAGCTGAAGAATATTAGAGTGAAACAGTTAGTATTTTTGTTTGTTTGTTTGGGGATTGTTCCTTGTATTGTTGGGGTTTTTATTGTTATTGTTTTTCATTATTTACAAGTAATAAGCACAGTTATCAAGATTGCCAAATACAAGATGAAAATACAAAACTAGTGTGACTAAACTAGCAACAAATAATTTAAAAGGTCATTTTTAGATGACCAATTTTCAATAACAACACCATTAAAATATAACTTGGAGGAAAAAAATCACAAAAGATGCAAATTATCTTTTCTGAGAAAATTATAAAACCTAATTAACAAATATAAGAGAAGTAGTAAGTAAAAAAATATACCATGTTCAAAATGGAAAAACAATAAATCGATCTATAAATTCAATGCAACACCAATGCAAAAGTCACAAGGTTATTTGTGGAATTTTGTAGGCCAGTCAGTCCTTACATTCACACAAAGAACGGGCCAAGTTTGTCAAGATAATTTGGAAAAAGAAAAAAGGTTGATATCAAAACCCCCCACGTCACAATATTTTCAAACTAAGTGACCTGAGAATGGCCCACAGACATTAGTTGTGGTTTTACATTTCTTTGTTGGGTTCAGAAATAGTGTGGAGAAGAGAGACAGGAAAGATGATACCAATGACAAAGTGGGATGAGCTCCTCTATAGCATATCACCTACTTTGAACCAGAGTGACCCTGATCCTTAAATAGAGTGACCCAAACTCTTAAATAAAGACAAAAGCTATTTTTAAAAGAAGTATTTGCAACATAGTAGCCTGGCCTAAGGATAATAATTCTTATTAGCTGGAGTAAGTTTCAAGCAGCCACCTGGCATTTGCTGATCATCTTATAAGTGCTAAAAACAAAGGAGTCAGGGGATGAAATTGTAAGCACATTGTGCTGGACTTTGACAAAGTTGAGAGGCAAAGTCACACATGAAATAACTAAAGAACTACAAAGCAGCATACTAGTAAGTAGAATAAAGTACAAGTATAAATGCAAAAAAAAAAAAATACTGAGAGTTGTAAGTAGAGCAGTAACCAAACCAAAAACAGATGTGCTCAGGGAGATAGTCTGAGGTGGGTCTGGGTAGTATATGGCTCCAGGGGGAGTCACTGTCATTGAGAGTGCTGCTGCTCATCTGCCACTGGTCCACCACAGGCTTCAAAACCATCAATGTGCATTGTTGACTACATCTAAATTCCATCAAATGGTGACCAACTTGTCAAGATACAACTTCCAAATCTGTCTTCCTCTGTAAGAAATGAACTAATGACCCTGTCTAAGATTTAAGAAAATTGTAGGCTTGTCTTCCTACATCTTGTTCTTCTTCTTGTTGTGTGTGCTTTGGTGCTGCAAAGAGCTAGCAATTTCTTCCCCCTGGGGACTCTTTATTTGGGGACTTAGATCACTCACAACTGTTGCTTTTGTGCTGCAGAGCACCTACATGGAAGGAACACTGGTTAATACCTGGTGGGGGATGTGATTCAAAATTTATTGGCTTACTATTGATACAACCATGAATTCCAGGAGGATCTGAAAAGAAAATGTAATGTATCCTAATGATGTTCTCCTTCAGGGCTATTGCCTACTTTGTGCATCATTAGAACTATAGACTGTCAGCTCCAGTCATGAATCCACTAGAGCTTTCTAAACTATTTATATCACACTAGCTCATAGAATGAACTTTACATATCCAGGAACCACGATTCCAATTGGAAGTACTTTAGTTGGGTTTGCTCATCCATATTCCAACCAAAAAGTAGTATCATGAGTGCACACTGATAAGTCTGCAGTGATTAAAGCAACCACATAAAATCTCATTACTTAAAAGAAATTAAACTCACTGTGGTTTATACAGAAACACTCCTCATCCATGTCCAACATCATCAAATCATTCACAGGCCAGTACAGTTAATCTTGTAATCTTCGTAAACGGGAGTAATCAACAAGTCCTCACCTCTAGCTCCAAAGCAGCACATAATACACTTCTGCAATACATTAATAAGAGAGGATGGGCAGAAGTCTTCCTGTTAATAACTGACCCTCGTGATATAGCAAGAAGGTTCCCTGAGTTCTGATATTATATTTACTGGAATTATAAATAGGTGCATAGTTTAAGAGGTTTGTAAGTCATTGTTACTGCTTCTGTCATTCCTGCATAGTTACTAAAATTGAAATTAGAGCCACCACTGCTTGAGCGTGCTGTTCTAAATTCTTAGCTTGCCTGATCTCAGGTGAGCCTCAAAGCAACCCTGTGAGAAATTACTCTGCTTGTATTTTGCAGCTGAGGAAACTGAGGCACGGAGAAGTGCTGCCCAAAGTCTCATAGGCAGAGACAATACACCAGCTTTGACTCCAGAGCCCAAGCTCTTAACCATTTGTCTCACTGCTCTCCTAGTCCTAGAGCCTGTTTGTATTACTCATTCATTATATGGAGAAAGGTGAATAGCTCAAAATTTTCTAAACAGGGTCTGGTTGGAATGGGAGACTAGGGCCCTCGCCTGAAGATATATTTCAATAGCAAAACCTATTTTAACTCAGATTGTACAGTTATTTGGGGTGGTTTATTTGGGCTGATTAACAAGAGTTTGGAGGGGAGAAGGGTTAAGGTCTTCCCAAGTCATCCTTTGGTACTGCTAATACAGATCACGTTACTTACTACATACTTAAAATCACTTTCTCTTTGGTTCCCTGAAGATGGGAATGTGTGTTAGGATTTTATCCTCTCTTTTTACACATTTGAGCTCACATGGACTAGGACCACTGTACTAAGTCATCATTATTTTTTCCCTCGTGATTTCTTTTGATCCAATCCATTGAAAGACATACAAGCTTCTGCTACACAATACCTAAATAAGCATTCAATTCAATGTGGGGAAAAATATTCATTCACTAGCTACAAAGCTCCATGCATACAGAGCCACCTTCTTTATATAGCTTACTTCTCAGGGTCATGCAGAATTTAGGCCTTGGTGTTTGGCTATTTCTCTCTTAGGAAGCAGAGCTGTTCTACACAAAAGGAAATTGTTTTTGCCCCTAGACAAAAGTGTCAAGTAGAAAAACCTATTCTTGGCGCTGTAGTCGGCTCCAGGGGACTTCATCCAAGTCCCACTCTTACTCCAAAGTGGGGGGTGTGGGTATATCCCCCACTAGGTGTCATCTGAGAAAGGCTGTCATCAACTCAGGACCAGCGGTGTCAGCAGGAAGGGCACACAACTGGCCCGAACCAGCCACGAGGTGGCTTTGGGTAAGTAATTTAATCTTTCAGAACCCCAGTTGTACCCTCTGTAAAACAGGGATGACACATATCCTAGGTCTGCCAGGAGGAGTAAGCATAACTCTCCGCGTAGACTGAAGACACAGCACCACGTACACAGCAGGAACCAGATAAAGGGTGGGATTTGGTGGTGTGGGCACGAGCGTGGGCCAGGGGTCCCCCCCAGGTCTGAGGGAGTCACTGGTATCTGTATTCCTCCCGGTCTTCCGGGGAATGACGGAGATGAAACATGTTAAGTGCCCTCGTCTATAGTGAATAACCAAATACACAGATGCAGCCCAAAGGCGGATTTAACTCCGGGTTTACAAAAGGCTGCAGCACACCAAGCAGAATGGTAAAGTGCACTTTCCAGAACGGTGAGAGTTTAAAAAACAAACAAAAAAACCTCACTTGGTGCAACTAGCAAAATTGACTTTTAAAAGTGTGGAAATCATGCTTGGAAAACTGTGGTGACTACATCTCTTGAGAAAAGAAAATTACCCAACTGGACTGGGGCGAAATGGCAGTGTACTTAATTGTGTCATAAGGAAAAAATAAATACATTCGTTTATCAAATATTTGTCAAGCGCCTAACACCTGCCAAGCGCAAACAAAACCATTCACAACCCCCGACCCGGCCCGGCTTTCTCGGGTCCCAGCAGCCTGTCCCCGGGGATCTCCGCCGATACCTAAGGCCAAGTTTCCGCGGAGCACGCCCCGGAGCGAAGGAACCGCAGGCCGGCCCCGCCCCTTCCTCCGGCCTCCTTAGGTCACGTCACCGCAAACCGAGAACGCCCAGACGCGACCTACGGCGTCCCACGAGGGAAGGAAGGTGCCTCACGCAACGACTTGTTCCGCCCACGTAAAAGATGGCGCTTGGTGCGTCAGTGGTCCCCGCTGCCCGGTTCCCCCCCCGCTGGGGGCGGGGTCTAGAGAGAGCAGGAGGTGTGGTTTCGGGGGAGGGGGTGTTTGTTCTTCCCGTCCTTTCCCTCCTCCCCGAGTTTTCACAGTATTTGCTGAGGGCGAACGCGGAACGACTCGATGAAATTTAGCAGAACACAAGGCGGGACGCAGTAAAGCGGCTTCAGGGCCGAGACGCGCGCGGGGTCGCGCTCGGGGGCGTGGCCTGGGCGGGGCAGGCGCGGGGCTGCGGTTGCGGTCCTTGCGCCTGTGGCGGCGGCGGAGGCGACTGGGTGAGTGAGAAACCGGCGGAGCGCTGGCTGTTTGGAGTCTGGTGCCCGGACCGCGCGTGGGCGGGGGCGCGGGCTGTCCCCCGGGTTCGCCTTGTCCTCTGTTTTCTCCTCTGTTCCGTGACCGAAATCGGGCGTCGGGTTTCCATGCCCGCGACTAGTGGAGTCGCCTGCATCCGGGCCCGGGCTTCCCGGCAGCGGCGGCGCGGAGACCGAGGGATGGGGCTCGAGCCAGCTTTCCCTCCCGCAGCCCAGCCGGCTCCTTTCCGGGGCCCGGCGTGGGACCCAGAGGGCCCGTCGGACCCGCGGAGCCGCGGGCTCCACGGAGAGAGCCTCGGGCGCCGAGAGGCTTGGCCCGGGGAAAGGCCAGAGGGCGCGCGGCGCGGCGGCTCCGGACCCAGCGGGGCCACAGGAGAGTGCGGGTTGGAGGGGCGGCGGTGTGGACGCACCACACGCCCACGGCGCTGGACCTTGGGGCAGCAGTTCGGGACTGAGCCGTGCCCCGTGCTGTGGGACGTAAACTCTTGCTTCATAAGCTCCGCGGTTACACAGACTTGCAGAAAGGAAGTGACCATTGTGACTTGGGCATCACTTGACTGATGGTATCAGTTTCAGAAAGAAGTGCACTGATTGCAGGTCTGCGTGGAACCCGTGAACTCGTCCAGGTCTCAGTGTTCGGGAGCCGAAGAGGGCGGTCGTGCCCTTGCGCGGGAGAGATGCCCCGGTCAGAGGCCATGGGGATCCTTAGGCTCTAGCGGAGTCACAGTGGATACATTCCAGTTCACATTGTTACCGGCCCTCGCCTCTGATGAAGAGGACACAATACTTCTAGCATTGCTTTTAATTTGTACAAGAAGCATGGGAAAATACTGTGAGATGTGATCTTTTTTCAGACTTTGGGAAACTTAATGGGACCATCACATTAGCAAGACTAATAAATGGGAGAGTAATAATATGGAGCCAGAATACTTGAAATAGGATGGTGTTATGTGACATAGATATCGTTGCCAGCACCTCAGCCAAACCCTGCCACGCTTGAGAAAAGGAAATCAGTTGGATTTGCCTTATGATGACTGTGCTCTTTATACATGTGAAAAATGAGAAAAATTATGGACCACACTGCAGATTGTGCAGTAAGCTAGCACTAACTTGCGCCAGGAAACAATTACATAGGGGCTAAAGATTTTTTTCCTTAGAAAGTTGATAAAATAATCTTGTTATTTGGCCCTGATAGCAGTCCAAAATGTTTCTTTCAGAGAAAGAAGTAGAAAACCTAATAAAACTCCTGTCTTTCAAGCCTGTCTTCGGGCCCAAATTAAAGTAGTTCAGAGGAGGGTAGGGTAGCCTGTTATCTGAGAAACCTGAAGCTGTGAGAAATGGCCTATCCTGATATCTTGAACATCTCCGAGTCTTGCCTAATGAAAATTTAGAAAGTGTTGGCAACTGTCTGGTGTTACAGGCAGTTCACTGTCTATAAAGTTCTTCTGGCAGCTCCTGTTTCCTAAAGTGGGCTGATTTAGGACCCCGTTTCTCTTAGGGCTGGGAGAAAATAAACAGAAAGCATGGTTACAAGATGTGTGGTTGAATTCTGGTTTACAACTGTAGTGGACCAACCCACTTTCTAAATACCAGCTGGAAAAGAGATGGCTGATTTTTAGTAAAGATTTAAGAGAAAGCCAAGCTTCAGATCTACAACTGCTAACAGTATTAACAAATGATAGTTAATATAATCTGTATATGTTGGCTAATTTTCAGAAAGTACATTGGGTACATCTTATCAACCCTATCCTTTGTTTATAGGAGTGGCCAGCTACAGTGTGACCCAATTTGGATCCTGGCTTCCCTCAAAAGGCTCTTAAGGCTAATGTTTGATAACCCTCTAGGGAAGCCAACACTACATGTGAATAGATATGTAGACTAAAAAAAACCACAAAAGACTACTGGTTTTGAACCAACTATTTTTTTTAGCCACATTTGTATATAATGGATTTTCCTCACAAAAATGATGAGTTTAATGTTAGTAAAATCATTTTTACGGCTCCTAATTATACTTCTCTGTGACATTTCTCAAGTTATTTCTTTTGGCAGGATTTAAAGCTAAACAACATGATCCTTGTCCTTTGTTTTCTTTCTAATGATACTAGCAGTGAGACTGAATATAATTAGTGGTCTAGCATAGTTTAATTTTCACTATCAGTTAACAAGTTTTCCCATAATCGAACCAGATTTTGCTTTAGGGGTCAATTCAATTTTAGAAAATGCTTTTATTTTCAATGTAATGATGAAATTCTTGAGTTGCAATCTTGCCTTTATGATAATCCACCTTTTTTTAATCCAAAAAAAAAAAGCAGAAGAAAAATATATTACAATACGATTTTATGGCCATGTGTTTACTTAACTCATTTCCTTGGCCTCCAGTTTGCTGTTGTTAATGACAGTAGCATCATTACAGTTTCAATTCACATTACATTTCTGTGTTTTGTCATTGTAAACTGACTGCTTGAATTGTCTCCAAAACAGTGAATATTTTAAACACACTATATAGCTTATATCCACTTACATTGTCTATAACACATTAAAAAGTAAATATTCTGTAAATGAATTTCTGAAATAAAAGATACACACATAAGAACAGTCTTTGTGTTAAACCATTTCTCCACATAAAGTGTTTTACCAAGCTGTGTATACACCTGTTCTTGACATCATGATAAAAGGGTTCATCTAATACTCTAAAATTAGAAGCTGCTGCTTTTCATCAGTCTCTGAACTCTCTTGACAAGGTATAGATAAAATCTTTTAAGTAGAATGGTTTACTTTGGCATGAATTTACTTATAGATCAAATGTGTTTTCCCAAAGGAGTCATATAGGCAAAGATAGGTATATCACATTTCAGCTAACAACTGCTGTCCTTTACAATTTTGATGAATTAGAATTGCTTAAATGAAATTGTCATTTTAAAAATTTTCCATCTTTGAATACAAATATTCAATTTTAATATTAAGAAAAAATAATTCATTTTACACTAACATTACATAGAATGTGCACCCTCATAGTGATATATTTGAGTAGGTTAAGATATATGAGACCTGGATTCTAGCCTGGCTCTGTGAACTTGGGCACTTCATTCTTCTCTTTGTGTCTGTTTTCTCAGTAGATTAAAAGGCTTGAACAGGACCCACCCAGCTGTGTTCTCTACATTTTCAAGATAACTGAAGCTTTCTTATTTCAACCATTTGCATAGAACTCTTCTTTTTAGTGATAAAATGTTAATGTTATACTGCTTTCTTGACTAGCATATTAAATGTTTTATCTTTGTGTTTCAGAGTCATCCTAAACACCTGTCATAGGCTTTAGTACCCTGGTATCCAGAGATCATTAAAAATAACAGGACTGTTTGCTCATTTTTGTTATCCATCCATACTGCTGAGTTTTTGCAATTTTTTGTCTTCTTTGTGTGTCTCTCCCCTCCCTTGCTTTTTTTTAGCAGCTTTCTACTGTCAGGTATTTTACTAGTTTTCTAGGACATAACAAAATACCACAAACTAGGTGATGTGAAACAACAAAAATTTATTCTCTCACAGTTCTGGAAACTAGAAGTCTGAAATAAGGTGTCATTAGGGAAGAATCCTTCCTTGCCTCCTGTTAGCTTTTCTGGCTACCAGCAATCCTTGGCATTCCTTAACTTGTAGCTGCATCATTCTAATTTCTTCTTCCATCTTTACATGGTCCTGTTCCCTCTATGTCTGTGTCTCCAAATCTTTCTGTCCTTATAAGGATGTCAAACATTGGATTAGGACTCTCCGTAATCCAGTATGACCCCATTTTAACTTGATTGTGTCCATTTTCAAATGAAGTCCATTTGTAGATACTGGAGATTAGGACTTGACTAGATTTTTCAGAGTAACATAGTTTAACCCACAATAAGCATTGGTGTCTCTAACTGAACCTTCCCCTTCCTCATTTAGTCCTCTTTAGTTGATATGGTTTAGGAACCAAATATCCAATTATATGAGAATTGCATATAGACTGGATATTTGGGAACAGTGAGGGTCTATTCTATGAGCTGTAGTTCATAATATTTCTTCTGAATGTTCAGAGGCCCTTTTTAGTTTATTGTTACTTTGGATTTCTCAGTATATTTCTGAATGTTACTGACAAGTTACTGTGTATCGTAAAATTATATCAGCACTCAGTGTGCACCTGTCATGCTAGTTGAATGTCTCTATCCTGGTTGGAGATATGCTTCCAAATCTTTTTCAACTAAAGAGGAGAAAAACCACATATGCTGAAATTATTTAGGTTTTTGATAGATGACTTTAAAATTGCTGAACCTAATCATTGGTTTTGTATGTCCTTGTTTAGATATTCTTGGAGCATTTGGATAATGTGACGGTTGGGATGTAGTGATGTCGACTATCTGTCCTCCGCCATCTCCAGCTGTTGCCAAGACAGAGATTGCTTTAAGTGGTGAATCACCTCTATTAGCAGCTACCTTTGCTTACTGGGACAATATTCTTGGTCCTAGAGTAAGACACATTTGGGCTCCAAAGACAGAACAGGTACTTCTTAGTGATGGAGAAATAACTTTTCTTGCCAACCACACCCTAAATGGAGAAATCCTTCGAAATGCAGAGAGTGGGGCTATCGATGTAAAGTTTTTTGTCTTGTCTGAAAAGGGAGTAATTATTGTTTCACTAATCTTCGATGGAAATTGGAATGGGGACAGGAGCACCTACGGACTATCAATTATACTTCCACAGACAGAACTTAGCTTCTATCTCCCACTTCACAGAGTGTGTGTTGATAGATTGACACACATTATCCGGAAAGGAAGGATATGGATGCATAAGGTGAGTGGTTTTGAGCTTATTAATCATGTTAACTTAGCCATTGAAAGTTTATCTTCTGACACACTTATATCTAATTTTTAGAAATTATATGCAGTTAACTTCAAGCAGTAGCTATTATTTTCACCTACCCTATTAGATACATAGATCTAGTGTGATGTCTGTGATATTCATAATGACCCTGGAAGGTAGTATGTAACAGCTCCACATTACAAATAAAAAGCTAAAGCTTAGAGAAATTAAGGATCACTAAAATAAGTTTTAGCGTCTATATTTGTCTTGGGATCCTTTGACCCTAAAAGCTGTTTGTTTGTTTGTTTGTTTGTTTTGGAATTGCATGACTGTGTTTCCTGTACTACTGTGAATGGGTGCAAACATTTCAAAACAATTGTTTCATAAGCAATTGACCATGGAGCCTTTGGTCCCTTTAACTTCTTTGCCAAGTTCCCATATTTGTAAAATGAGGAGGTTGGGCCAAATGGTTTCTAGGAGATAACTTCTTGCATTTCATTTTCATATTATAAATGATATTCTAGTCATTTCTTTTGTAGACTGGGCTAGAGGAAATTACTGTTATTCCCTAAATCCTATAGCTTAATATAAAGTGATACTTATATTGCCATATACTCTTGGCAAATCTGAAGAACAAATTTATTTTTCCTTTCTACTTTGCTGTTTGGTACTACCATGGAAAATCATGAAAGAATTATTAACTTTGTGAGGCTTTTACTAGATAGTAAGGAAAATATCTTTTAAAGCATGGGTGGGGCCCAGCCGGTGTGGCTCAGTGGTTGAGCATCTACCCATGCACCGGTTCACTTCCTGGTCAGGGCACATGCCCAGGTTGTGGGCCTGATCCCCAGTGGGGGGCTTGCAGGAAGCAGCCGGTTGATGTTCTCTCTCATCGAAGTTTCCATCTCTTCCTCTCCCTTCCTCTCTGTCTAAAAATCAATAAAGAAAAAAAACATTTTAAAGCATGGGTGAGGAACATCTGGCCCACGGGCTGCATAAGGCCCACAAAATCTATACCTACTAACATCACACACCTCACCAAATTACCCTGACCAAATATAGCAGGCTAATTTTTAAGTTGATAATTTTGTATGGCCCGTAAATGATGTTATACATATCCAAATGGCCCCTGGCAGAAAAAAGGTTCCCCACCCCTATAAAGGAATAGTTTCTTACTATGTTTACAGACTTGCCTCCTTATTTTTCATGTGTATAAAAATCATTTAAAATTAGGAAGCTCTATATTCTCCAGGTTCAATTTGATCATAATTTGAAAAGTGCAGATCATTACCTTTGTGAAATTGTGCAGATATTACCTTGACTGTTTTCTGTTAAATTATATGTTTTTAACTGCAAGAAAAAAAGGATGGTTTTATTTTATTTTGTATTATTTAGGAGAGAATGGATTCATTTGGTTAATTTCTGTCCCCCTTTTTCCGACCTAAAGTGGAAAGTATTTTTACCATGAACTAAATTATACAAGAACATGTCTGCTAATTAACTGTATTGTAAAAAATAAGCATCAAATGTTATTTTTAGAAATTATTTTAATACATTTATTCTTGCTCAGGAAAGGCAAGAGAATGTCCAGAAGATAGTATTAGAAGGCACAGAGAGAATGGAAGATCAGGTAAGGTGGATTGTACACAGTTAAGTACTACCAGGCACATGGAAGTCTGTATAAGGCTAAGGGCTACTTTGTTAAGGCCTTGAGGCCATGTTAGTTTGACAGAGTGAGCCTGAAAGTGAACAGAGCCTTTATGGCGATGCATGGAACAAACTGGGTAAAAACTTGCATATGTTAGACCTGAAGAATTAAATGTAAAGTCTAATAGTAATTGCATCTACAGATTAATATTTTGCTACCCTTTTTTCTGTATGCAGAGAGTAAGTTTTGAAAACTTATTCATAGTTAAAGTTAAAAATTTTATATGTAATTTCTTTAAAGTAATGTTTCTCAAACATGTCCGCAGAACTAGTTGTAACAGAGGAAAATGAGTACTCCTAAGGTATCTGTAGGTGTAGGCACAACTTTAAACATAATATATCTTTAAAACTCATGCAGTTTATATTTTATTCTATGATAGATCTATTTTTTTTTTTTTTTTTTGTAATATTATTATTTGCCAGTGATATTCCTCACCTTTATACTGATCAGGCTTCTTTTAATACCAAGTTCTAGGAAAATGTTACATGTTTATCCCACGACTTTGAATACACTTAGGGAGCAGGCACCAGAGTTTGAAAAGCATGATTGCAAAGGTGGGGCTTCCCTTGTGGAAATGAAGTACAAGCCATTTCAGCACAGGTCAGAGCAGTTCTTCTGAAGGGGACTCTGCAATGGAGAAAGGGTTCTTTGCTTTTACTCCTATTGCCCCAGCCACCCCCTTCATTCCTGTTGAAACTCCGGTGCAAACATCATGGCGGGATTGCTGTTTCTCTGGTTCTCCTTAGCATACCCAAGGCAGAATGGTACTTCAAACAAAAACTTCTCTAAAAATTTGTGAAAATACAGGGACATTAAACAAGGAAAATACAAAACCCTATAAAATGACCTCCTTTATAAAATTGTTATGTCTGTATTTTGTAAATAACTTTCCAGGCCAGAGGAAGTAATTCTGAGGAAAGGTCTGAGAATTATAACAAAATGTTTCCCTTTACCTAGAGAAGCCCAGCCTTTGCTTGCTGGTCAGTAAGCAGGGTCTCAAGGAATGAGGTGACTTTTACCAACCTCTGGTTATGGAGTAACTAGAATTACCTCAAGATAAGGAAATTTAGGACCCAGTAAAATTCTGCTTTTACTGGGACTTTTTTTCAAACCACAAGCCTGTACTTATCAAGTTACCACTGTTAATGAATTCTGTCTCTCTCTTAAGGGCTCTTGAAGATGTTGTCCTACTCCTTCTCTGGTCATGAGGAAAGTATACTTGGGACAGACAAGGTTCTTAGAGGGGAAACATTGTCCAGCTCAGAAGTTTAAGTTAGAGAAATTCAAGGAGGAAAGGAAACTTAAGGATTTTCTTTTAGAGTCTATGTTCAGCCTTGCAGGATTTTTTTGTTAAGCTTCAATAAAGATACTTGTATCGCTTATGATGATACATATCAGATTCTGTGTATGAACTCCTTTATATGCCTAATCATAAGGGAAGGTATTTTCCCACAATTATCCTTTTTGAAAAGGAGTTGCCTGATAAGTGATGTGCTTTCGATGACTATTTTGAACAGTAAATACTATTTGGGGAAGTGTGAAACAACTTCAGTCAGTGCTGGTTCTGGATGCCTGTTGCTGTTCTCTGATAAAATTGCTTTACAAGGAGCCAATATAACAGCAGCTTCAGTCACTTTGCTTGTTGATTTGCAGTGTAATTGATTGTAATTGTAAACAAGCATTTAAAAATTACCTTAGCCCTGGCTGATTTGGCTCAGCGGTTAGAGCATCGGCTTGTGGACCAGAGAGACCCGGGTTTGGTTCCCGCTTAGGGCACATACCGCGGTTACAGTTTGTCCCTGGCCCTGGGTGGGGTCCTGTGGGTGGCAACTACTCAATGTGTCTCTCCCAATCGATGTTTCTTTCTTTCTCTCTCTCTCTCTCTTCCTCCCTCAAGATAAATGCAAAAAAATGTGCTCAGGTGAGGATAAAAAAAAAATACCTTAAAGAGCAGAAACAGTGAGTGGTTGTAGTGTGGAGGTTATTACAGCTTGATTTTTTTTTTTTTTTTAAATAATAAAATCTATGATGTAAGGGGGCTTATGGCTTAGGATAAAATTTCTAGAGACAGTGTAACATTTAAATTCTTAAGCAACTTACATGATCAGGGGGTGCTGGAAAATAGGTTAATCAGGAATGACTAGGGATGACAGCGGTTCTCATTTGAAAATAACGTGAAAAATTTGATTAAAATTGTCTTATGAAATATGAGTGAGGAAAAAAAAACATTGTTAGATTGATCTTAATATGTGATTTTAAGAATTTTGGGTGAGTTGTAGTCAATAAATGAGGGATCACTTGATTTTGAGAAGCTTTATATTTGTGGTATTCTATATTGTTTTCATTTCATTTTATTCTACAAACTACAGATTTCAAAATTACATTTTTGATATGTAAGAAGTAGAAAAATTGTCTTGAATGAATTCTAAAGGGAACTTTTTTATTGATTATTAAAAATACATGTGATGATTTTTATTTGCATTTGGGTAGATTATAGCTTATTATGAATGTGGAGGTTCAGTATTGATTCAGGTTTTACTATCAAGTTAATTGCTAAGGATTTCAAAGTCTTATTCTTTATTTTTAAATATAAGACACATTGATGACCTTTAATTGAGTTATATTTCATATTTCAAAAGGAGATCCTTTCTATATTTGGCATGATGATTTAATTTTTTCATTTAACAGTCAATGATAAACCAGTGATTCTGTTCTGACTAAAGAAAGTTATTTCCAGAAGAGTGAAAATGAGTTTTAAACAGCATGTAAATCCTTTAGAAAAAATGTTTTGGCCCTGGCCGGTTTGGCTCAGTGGTTAGAGCGGTCAGCCCATGGACCAAAGAGTCTGTGGTTCGATTCCTGGTCAGGGCACTTACTTCAGTTGCAGGTTCAATCCCTGGCCTTGGTCAGGGTCATTCTGGAGGCATCCATCCCTTTCACATTGATGGTTCTCTCTCTCTCTCTCTCTCTCTCTCTCTCTCTCTCTCCCTCCCTCCCTCCACCCCCCTTCTCCCTCCCTCCCTCCCCCTCACTCTTTCTTCCCCACCCTCCTCCCACTCTATCTAAAGCTCAGTGGGAAAATATCCCCTAGTGAGGATATAAAAAAATGTTTTAGAGTAGTAGACTTGCTTGGGGTTATGTTTGAACAATGTATCAAGTATTCCTATCAAAGGGCATTATTCTTTGCTTTCCGTATTTAATTTTTTGTTGTCTAGTTTCTTGTATAATTTTCTTTACCTCATTTTACTTTTTTGTGCAGGGTCAGAGTATTATTCCAATGCTTACTGGAGAAGTAATTCCTGTAATGGAACTTCTGTCATCTATGAAATCACACAGTGTTCCTGAAGAAATAGATGTAAGTTCTTATTTTGTTAAATATGAGCAGTGGTATCCTTTATCCATTTTTTCTTTTTTAGTTACATCACCATTATGTATATTAGTAGTATAGTCATTTTAGTAGTATGCATTTTTTGCCATGCATACTATTCACATGGCGTATTAGTGCTTTAACAAAACACACTTAAAATTATATAGGCTTTTTGGTCAGTGAAACTATGATAACATTAAATTTATTTATTTGACCGCTTTTGTATTTCCTGGAAGTGGGAGAATTTCAGACCTGATAGCAGCAATCAGTATTTAATATAGTACTTTTGGTAACAAAACAGTGTACAAATGAAAGTGTACCCATGTTCATGAGTCTAGTTTCCTTAATCATTTGTTGAGGACATTTTGAGTCATATACTGTGCGTGTATAGAGAAATCTCTAGGAGACAGTTCTTATTGCTTTCTGACATTTCTGTCATTAAGATTTGCCTTCCTAATTCTGACAGTGCAGAAGAGGAGGTTGTTGTAAAAATTGTTGCTAAACCTGCCTAACCAGCTTTTGTATTTGTTCTGAAATTTTATGGTAGTGCACAGAGATTGTTTTATGGGGATTCTTGATGCTTAGAAATGAGGGCAATGTGTTATATTGAATGTTGACTTCAGAAAACTTATGTACTAAAAGTGTTTTTTCAACATTAATTTATACCAACTTTTTTTTTTTTTTTGGTGCATTTTAGATTGCTGAAACAGTTCTCAATGATGATGATATTGGTGATAGTTGTCATGAAGGCTTTCTTCTCAAGTAAGTATTTTGTTTCTTTTCATAAAAACTGAATGAAGCAGATACAAATCTTATGCTCACCTATGACGAGTTATGGAAGGAAGTAAATAACAGAATGGCTACCCCATATTATTCTAGGGACAACATTGCATATTTGAACTATTAACTTAGCTTTGTGTTATTTTTTCATTTATTACATATCTGTGATATATTTGATGTTACTCTTTTTATTTTAATATTTAAAGAAGTTGAGTTGCCACAGTGCCCAGACAAGAAATCTCGGTCTCTTGTTTGGTTCTGGTTTCTTGTTTTACTTCTCGTCCAAGCTGCAACTAAGAACCCTTTCAACACAAGTTTCATGGTGGATGTATTTGAGTTATTTAGGCTTAGAGAAGAAAATTATTTATGTTTGTACATATCCTTTCCATCTTTCAGTAGATTTTAGTACTTAAAAGTGTGGGCTCTAAAACTAGATTTCATGGTTACTGCTGTGTAACCCTGGGCAAGCTGCCTGAACTCTGTGTGCCTCCATTTCCTCATCTGTAAAATGGGAATAATATAGTGCCTGCTTCATGGGATTGTTCTATGAGTGAGGTAAATCAGATTAAGCATTTAAACAGTGCTTGGCACATATAAACACATAATAGTAGCTAGTACCTAGCATTTGCTATTTATATTTCTTCTAACAAAAAGGATAATAATAGCCAGTATTTATTGAGTACCTACACATTAGTCCCTCATCTGAGTGCTTTCTCTACACGTATAGTCTCATCTTCTGCTTTAGTGTTTCTTTACAACTGTAGATTATCATGAAATTTTATTTTTAAAAATGAGGCGTGAACTGCTTTTATGTTCCACAGTCTTTTCCTTTAGGTTTAGAATGGAATCGTAAAGGCAAATGTGTATCTAACCTAGAAGCCTTAAATGGCTTGAATCAGAAACTCCTTAGTCCTGATTCTGCTCAGTGTCAGCCATTCGTAGCATTATCTTTAATCCCCTTTTACTTTAAGTAAGTCACTTAACCTCTCTCTACACCTCAGTTTCTTCCACTATAAAATGGTGATATTTTACTGAGTGGGTTGTTTTAAGGTTCAAATGAGAGACTCTCTGTGACAGGCACGTAGAAATAAAGATGGCATTATACTTGTAGCTTTGGTGCTCCTCGTGTAAAGCTATTCTAAATTATTTGAAGCTTACTTGCCTTCTTTTTTTTTTTTTTTTGTTTAGTTTGTGAAATAGTTTTATAGCCAATGTGTTTTAATCTCTTTTCTTCAATTTACAGTGCCATTAGCTCACACTTGCAAACCTGTGGCTGTTCTGTCGTAGTAGGTAGCAGTGCAGAGAAAGTAAATAAGGTAATTTATTTTATAATCCAGCAAATAATCTCACACTTTAATACTGCCAATTTATCATGGATTGTAATTCAAAGGTTAGGTCGCAGTCAAAATGATCTAATAGTATAAGGAGGCAATATAATCTGACCAAATGACTGTGATATTCTAAGCAAAAAGTTGTTTATCAGTTTCATTTTGGTAACTTATAAATACTAGTAATAAGCTACCCTGTATATTTACTTGAGGCTTAATTTACCAAAATTATATTTCTAATACAACCATTTATTACTGCACCAGTGACTAATGATATTATTTCTGTTACTCCAAGAAAGTAGCTTTCCATCTGTGTCCCCCAAAGCCTTCCAGTTCCACAGAGAGACTTCCCAGTCACTTGGAGGGGGAAAGGCTCTGTGTTAGGGACTGTGTGTTTTTTATACATTTTCCTTATCTCACATTATCTAAATTGGCTTAATAGCTTCCCTTTTATCTTTTTTAATTTGAGAAAAAGGTTGCCACTGTTCTAGATTGTAAACCACTGCGTTAATATGAAAACTCTAAATATGGTCTGAATTCCAACATAGTTACATGGTGCAGGGGAAGAAAAATAATTTTCTTTCTCCTTCTAGGTTTTCAGCTGAGACCTCTTTGTAATTAAATTAACAGGAGAAAAGTAAACAAGTTGAATAACATGTATGCCTCATGTGTACATGGGAGATATGCAGGAAAACTGAGTGCCTCCCCAAATGATCCAAGCCATCACCTTAAATATCACTTTCAGTTAATGAAAAAGAAGGTGTTGGAGGGTGGGAGTGGGAGGTGACCAGGATGAGGGTATAGTTACGCAGATCTGAGTCCTTGCCTTCTCCACTGATAAGGGTTTCTTCCTTCTCTTGAAGGGGAGAATGTCTCTTACAAAAGGGTAACTTTCATGGTTTCTTCTTTGTCTGCTGTCTCTTGAAAGTAATCAGCCTAAAATAATCTTTATGTCAAAAGGCATATGTGGGGGTGGCACATTCTGCTTCCCTTCAGTAGCTTTTTACTTTCTTTCATAGATCTATAGATCAAATCCTGTTAGAATCATAGGTTTATAAACCCCGAACAATGGCTTGCTTATTTTAAATCAAATTTGATGGAATTAATTCTCATTCCCTGGAAAGATTTGGACACTTACTGATACTCATTATAACGAGATTTCACATGTAGAACTACTGAACAAAGCCATAATTCTGCCTAATGTAACTGATTTAGTTTTCTTGACCAAAATTATTTGCTCATTTGAGAAGCACTTGCTGCTGGGTGAAGAAATAAGTCAGTAATTATACTTGGTTGTTACTTTCTACTGAAATAAGGATTCCATGGTCAGATAACTTTGAGAAAGTCTACATATAATATCAGTCACCTGAGAATCACAATATATATTCAAATGTTAAAGGTTTTGAAATACTATAAATTTACTAGCATTTCCCAAACTTAATTGACCACAGAATCTCTGTTTTTAACAACAGCTGTTATAGTCCATGGACTATCCTGGGTAACTAAGGAATACTTATTTCTTAGGATATATTTTATTGTCAAAAACAATGGAAATTTATATTCCAATTTCTTTCATAAGCAAACCAATTTTTTTTATTTTTTACTTTATATTTTAATGCTAAAATCTTTTCTTTTACAGATAGTTAAAACATTATGCCTTTTTCTGACTCCAGCAGAGAGAAAATGCTCCAGATTATGTGAAACAGAATCATCATTTAAATATGAGTCAGGGCTCTTTGTCCAAGGCCTGCTAAAGGTATAGTTTACACTTATCAATTTTTGAGACTCTTTATAAGTGTATTTTGAACATTAGTATTGTATTTCATATTTTCATGCCAACTTTCTTTACACAGGTCTGAGCATAAAGTTATGTCTTATTGATTTATAGTTGGTATCAGTGAAACATCATAGACTATCTGTGTTTCTCTCTGGTTTCCTGTAGCTGTCTGTCTGACCTTAGGATTTTTTTTTTTATATGTGCTCGAATCAAGTTTCTTGTCTAAAATGGGAGCTTTTTTTTTTTTACTGAACAGATTTGAATTTTTGTGTTACCATTTTATGTTTATATTGAAAAACAATTTAAAGCTGCTTTCTAACTTGAAAAGGTGTATAAGATTTGATCAATTCCTGTGTTTGTGTGTATTAGAAAAATTATTTTACAGTTTTATTTGTTTAACTCTACATTTGGAGGAACAAAACAGATAAATGTTAATTAGCCATTATTTTCTATAATTACGGGAAAGACAGTTATTCTTTTTATCCAAACTATTGTTAATTATAATAAAATACATGCAGATGTAGATTTCCTAATACTTATGTGATTCTCTCATAGTGGATGCGTTCTTGAGGATGTAGATACAACAAAATGAAAGAAAAATATTAAAAATTGTTACAAATAAAAATGATATTCAGCTTTTGCATTTTCAACAATGTGCATGCTATGAGCCCAAAATAATAGTATATAAATACAGAAACTATTTAAGGGAAACTCATTTCTGATTTGAATTGTACAAATCTGAAAATTAGAACTTTTTCCTTTCAAAGGCATAAGGTACCTAGTACTTTTATTTTCTCAGCAACCTCTCATTTAATTATATAAACGTATTTCTATTTACTTATTTTTTTATCCTTACTGGAGGACATTTTTGCATTTATCTTCGGATAGAACAGGAGGGAGAGAGGGGAACAGAGAGAGAAACATCGATGTGGGAGAGACACATCAACTGGATGCCACCCAAACGACCCCAACCTGGGCGGGGACAAACTGCAACTAAGGTACGCGCCCTTAGCGGGAACCGAACCCAGGACTCTCTGGTCCATGGGCCGAGGCTCTAACTGCTGAGCCAAACCGGCCAGGGCTATAAATGTATCTCTAAAAGGGTCCTATACTAAATCCATAGAGGAAAACTTCGAACTATAACTTAATGAAAATATATTTGTTATTAATATAACAGTGATTGAGCATTGACCTATCCACCAAGAGGTTACTGGTTCAGTTCCCAGTCGGGGCACATTCTCAGGTTTCGGGCTCAATCCCCGTGGGGGGCGTGCACGAGGCAGTTGATCCATGTTGATTTGATGCTTCTCTTGCTCATCAGTGTTTCTATTATTCTCTCCCTCTCCCTTCCTCTCTCTCTAAAAAATCAATAAAAAACATTACATATATACATATATATATATTTGTTAAAAATGGTACATGCAATTATAAATTGTATAGTCTTTCAGAAAATGGTTCAACATTATATATCAAGAGCTTTACAGATGTTTAAAGACTATCTACTATTTGTACCTCTGCAAAGTCTTCCAAAGAAAACAATTATATGTGCAGAAGATTCACTTATAAAGATGGTTATCACAACATTAGAGGAGTGAAAAATTTGGAACAGCCTTAGTCTTCTGTTCTCTTCAAGCGCATAGCACAGTGCCTTATGCACAGTATGTCCTTGTTCCATGGCAACCCGGCTGACTATACCTAGAAAGAAGTGCGTTTTTTGCTTATTATAAAAATACATATATTATTGAAATTTAAAAGAGTGTATGAGTAGGTAAGAAGAAAAGGTCATTTGTACTCTCAGGATCCAGTGAATAACCACTATTAATATTTGGCATATAGCTTTCTGATCTTTTTTCCTTCTCTATGTATTTTTTTCACATCTCCCAGCAAAAAAAAAAATGGATTATACTCTGCATGTCCTAACCTGCTTTATTCACAGTATATTGTGAATATCTTTCAATATCAACACATAAACTTTACCAGCTTCATTTTGGATGCTTAGGTGGTTTCTATCACTAAAATTTTGCACACAATCACGATTAATATTCAAGTATAAATTTCTAGAGATGGATTTGCTAAATCAAGCTAGTTTTTTTTTATTTATTTAAACAATAATTCTTTATATCTTTTGGCATATAAGACAGTACGTTTTCCTTTCATCATGACAGGATTCAACTGGAAGCTTTGTGCTCCCCTTCCGGCAAGTTATGTATGCTCCCTATCCCAGCACACACATAGACGTGGATGTCAATACCGTCAAGCAGATGCCACCCTGTCATGAACACATTTACAATCAGCGTAGATACATGCGATCAGAGCTGACAGCATTCTGGAGAGCCACTTCTGAGGAAGACATGGCTCAGGACACAATCATCTACACAGATGAAAGCTTCACTCCTGACTTGTAAGTAATACCCAGTCCCTTTTGTTGTTGTTGTTACTCCTCACCCGAGGATATTTTTCCTTTGATTTTAGATAGAGTGTAAGGGAGGATGGGAGGGAAAGAGGAAAACATATACATATATATATTATATATGTGTATATATATATGTGTGTGTGTGTATAAAAACTAAACCAAAGAAGTAATTCTAAGTCTTTATTGATATATGAATATAAAATACAACAAAACTGTCAAAAATATTAAAAGAGCATTCTTTTACTTTGAATTTTATATTGTAGTATTTGTTCTTTATCATAAAGTATAATTCAGTGGTTCTCAACCTTCCTAATGCCACGACCCTTTAATATAGTTCCTCATGGTTCCTCACCATAAAATTATTTTCAATGCTACTTTATAACTGTAATTTTGGTACTGTTATGTCTTAGGCGACCCCTATGAAAGGGTCGTTTGACCTCCAGAGGGGTTACGACCCACAGGTTGAGAACCCCTGATATAATTAGTAAATTAAAAAAATAGAAAGTAATGAGCCCTGGCCAGTTTGGCTCAGTGGTTGAGCATCGGCCTGCGGACCAGAGAGTCCTGGGTTCGGCTCCCGCTAGGGGCACGTACAAAAAAAAAGAAAGAAAGTAATGATAATAAAATATTCAGTGTGGACCTAATTAAGAAAACAAATGATATTGATAAACTTGAATTATAAAACCCTAAGAAAACACTTAAATGATGTGATGAAATCAGGAAAAGATTTGTAGTATTCTATTAGGATTCTCTTTAATTAATTTAAAATATCTGGCACATACAATGTGTTCAATAAACGTTAACTAGAATAATACAGATTTGAGTATGTAAGGGAGCAGTAAAATTGGAGCAAGTGACCTGTTTTTTATTTCGAAGAAAAAGAGCTGAGGTAGCAGACATGGAGCACCCTTAGTCATACAGAAGGTGTTGACCAAAAACAAAAGGAACACCACGTCCAAGGGCTTCCCAGCCTCACATGTACTAGGTGCAGAAAGATGACTTCATTAGGACCCATCTTTTCCCAGATCTCCACTATTCTTGTTGGTTCCTTAGAAAGCTTTAGGGAAATCAGTTTAGAAAATGTATTGGTCAAAATTGGAATTCCAGGTCACTAAGCTTTCACATTACAGTATTGATAATTTTGGTACACCTGTAGAAATTCTGAGAATTAATTTGTTCCTTCAAGCATTTTCTTCTTTCCTAAAGTATTTAGTAATTTTTTCTTTTTTGTTTGGTTGCTTCAGAGCTCTTTTGGGGGAATTTGGTGAACTTTAAAACAGGTTTACAACCATCTAGTGGTTTTTTTTGTTTTAGAGAGGATATGTGTACACTTTAACATTTCTTACTCATTTTTAGCCAATTACGTTTGCTTCACTGATTTGACCAACTATCATCAACCAGCTGTTGTTTTGCTGATCATAACAAATAATGTTATGTATTTAAAAATATTTTCCAACTCTAAGTAAATTTTCTTTTTATTTTTTAACTTATTTTTATTGTTAAATGTATTATAGATGTTTCTCATTTTTCCCCCATTGACCCCCTCCTCCCCACTTCCAACCCCTTCTGCCTTTCCCTACACTGTTGTCTGTGTCCATTGGTTATGCATATATGCATATAAGTTCTTTGGTTTATTTCTTCCCACCCCCCAACCTCCCTTCCCTTTGAGGTTTGTCAGTCTGACAACCAATTTGTACTTCTTTTTTTTTTGTTGTTACAGATATTTCTCCTTTTTTACCCCATTGGCACCCCCCTCCCCACCGCAACCCCGCCCCGTCCCTGGCTTAGTTGTCCATGTCCATTGGTCATGCATACATGCATATAAGTTCTGTGGTTTATCCCCCCCACCCCCTCTTCTGAGGAATGTCAGTCTGTGCCCTACTTCCATGTTTCTGGGTCTACCGTACTCCTCAGACTGTTATGTTCATTATATTCCGTATATAAATGAGATCATGTGGTATTTGTCTTTTTCTGGTGGCTTATTTCACTTAGGATAATACTTTCCAGGTCCGTCCAAGTCGTCTCAAAGGATAAGAGATCTTTCTCTCTTACAGCTGCATAGTACTCCATTGTGTATATGTACCACAGGTTTTTTATCCATTCATCTACTGATGGACACTTGGGCTGTTTCCAGATCTTAGCTATTGTAAATAGTGCTGCTATGAACATGGGGGTACATATATTCTTTCTGATTGGTGTCAGGCTTCTTAGGGTATATTCCTAGAAGCAGGATCACTGGGTCAAATGGAAGTTCAATTTTTAATATTTTGAGGTAACACCATATTGTTTTCCATACTGGCTGCACCAGTCTGCATTCCCACCAGCAGTGTAGTAGAGTCCCCTTTTCTCCACACCCTCACCAACACTTGTTGTTTGATGATTTGTTGATGGTGGCCATTCTGATAGGTGTGAGGTGATACCTCATTGTTTTAATTTGCATCTCTCTGATGATTAGTGATGTTGAGCATTTCTTCATATGTCTCTTGGCCATTTGTATGTCCTGTTTAGAGAGGTGTCTATTCAGCTCCTCTGCCCATTTTTTGATTGGGTTCTTTGTCTTCCTTTTGTGGAGTTGTATGAGCACTCTATATATATTGGAAATTAACCCCTTATCTGATACATCATTGGCAATGATGTTCTCCCAAACAGTGGATTGCCTTTCCATTTTGATGATTGTTTCTGTTGCTGTGCAGAAGTTTTTTAGTTTGATGTAGTCCCATGTGTTCATTTTTTCCTTTGTTTCTGTTGCCTTAGGTGATGTATCAGTGAAAATTCTGCTCCGTATGATATCCGAAATTTTTTTGCCTACATTTTCTTCTAGAATTTTTATGGATTCACATTTAAGTCTTTTATCCATTTTGAGTTTATTTTTGTGTATGGTGTAAGTTGATGGTCTAGTTTAATTTTTTTGCATGTAGCTGTCTAATTTTCGCAACACCATTTATTAAAGAGGCTGTCTTTACTCCACTATATGCTCTTGCCACCTTTGTCAAATATTAATTGAGCATATTGCCTTGGGTCCATTTCTGGGTTTTCAGTTCTGTTCCAGTGGTCTATATGCCTGTTCTTGTGCCAGTACCAGGATGTTTTGATTACATATTTGTACTTCTTAATCCCTTCACCTTTTTCAACCATTCCCTCAACCCCCCTCCCATCTGGCAACCAACAAAATTTCTCTGTATCTATGAGAATGTTTCTGTTCTGCTTGTTTGTTTGTAGATTCAATTGTCAACAGATATGTATTCATTGCCATTTTGTTTGTTCATATTTTTTATCTTTTTCTTCAAGAAGACCCTTCAACATTTCATATAATAATGGTTTGGTGGTGATGAACTCCTTTAGCTTTTCCTTGTCTGGGAAACTCTTTATATGTCCATTGATTCTAAATGACAGCTTTCCAGGATAGAGTAATCTTGGTTGTAGGTTCTTGATTTTCATCGCTCTGAATATTTCTTGCCACTCCCTTCTGGCCTGCAGAGTTTCTTTTGAGAAATCAGCTGACAGTCTTATGGGAACTCCCTTGTAGGTAACTAACTGCTTTTCTCTTGCTGCTTTTAAGATTCTCTCTTTGTCTTGAACCTTTTGCATTTTGATAATGATGTGTCTTGGTGTGGGCCTTTCTGGGGTTCATCTTGTTTGGGACTCTCTGTGCTTCCTGGACTTGTATGTCTGTTTCCTTCACCAAGTTAGGAAAGTTTTCTGCCATTATTGTTTCAAATATGTTTTCGATTTCTTGTTCTCTCTCTCCTCCTTCTGGCACTCCTAAGATGTGAATGTTGGCATGCTTGAAGTTGTCCCAGAGGCTCCTTACACTATCCTCATTTTTTTGGATTCTTTTTTCATTTTGCTGTTCTGATTGGGTGTTTTTTGCTTCCTTATATTTCAAATCAATGATTTGCTTCTTGGCTTTACCTACTCTACTATTAAATCTGTGTTAATTATTCTTTATTTCTGTTAATACCTCTTTTATTTCTGACTGGTCCTTTTTTATGCTCTTTTTTTATCCTCACCCGAGGATATTTTTCCATTTTCTGTACAGATAGAGTGGGAGGGAGAGAGAGGAAGGGAGAGAGAGAGAGAAACATTGACGTGAAGGGACACATCGAGTGGCTGCCACCCGCACGACCAACCAGGGCCGGGGACAAACTGCAACCGAAGTATGTGCCCTTAGCGGGAACCGAACCCGGGTCTCTTCGGACCACAGGCCGACGCCTTTTTTATGCTCTTGAGGCCCTCACTAAGTTCACTTAGGTTCTCACTAAGTCCATTGAGCATCCTTATAAGCATTGTTTTTTTGTTTTGTGTTTTTTTGTTTTTGTTTGTTTGTTTTGTTTTTGTGGTATGTGCCCCTAGCAGGAATTGAACCCAGGACTCTCTGGTCCACAGGCCAATACTCATCTGCTGAGCCAAACTGGCCAGGGCATAAGCAGTATTTTGAACCCAGCATCTGTTAGGTTGCTTATCTTCATTTCGCTTAGTTTTTTTCCTGGAGTTTTGTTCTGTTCTTTCATTTGGGACCTGTTTCTTTGTCTCCTCATTTTGGCTGCTTCCTTGTGTTTGTTTCTATGTATTACTTAACAAAGAGGTATGGGGCCAGCTGAGACCAGATGCTGCTTGTTTGAAAGAATTTAGAAAAACCAGTGGGGTACAGACTGACAATCCCCAGAAGAGGGGGTGATGGTGGAGAGATAAACCACAGAACTTATATGCATGTATGCATGAACAATGGACATGGACAGCAAAGCTGGGGACAGGGCAGGGAGGGAGGGGGGGAATCAGTGGGGGGAAAAAGGAGAAACATCTGTAACAAAAATAAATTGATTAATTAATTGAAAAAAAAAAAGAATTTAGAAAAACCTGAAGCAGGATCAAGACAGTCCAATCCTATGGTAAAGCAACTGGCAACAGCTTGGGTGGGCCTGAAAGTTGGGTGGGGCGGGGCCTCAGGGAATCACCAGGGCAGAGCCAGGTTGCTGGAGTCCCAGGCATGGCCCCTGTCTGCCATCCCAGGGAAGGGCTCACCAAAGGAACAAAGGCCTCAGACAGCACGTCTGTCCAGGAGAAAGCTGCCTCTTCAGCCCTCGCTCCAATGCCAAACAACTCAGGTCTTCCCCACATGTCTCTGGTGCCTTTTAAGCTGCCTCCCCCACACTGGAGCCTGGAGGGTGGGAGTCTGAGTAAGTTCGTACGTGGGCCCTTTAAGAGGAGATGCCTGGGACTTCAGCCGCCTCAGCCTCAGTTCCTGCTGGTTTTCCAGCCAGAAGGGATGAGGGCTTCTCTTCCTGGCACTGGAACCCTGAACTGGGGGCCAGGTGTGGGACGGGAACCCCTCACTCCTTAGGGAGGACCTTCCTAGCTGAGGTGTCCTCCTAATTTTTATCTGCCACACCTGGATGGGACAAGCTCGTCGAACCTCCGCCCCTCCTACCAGTCTCTGTGTGGCTTCTTTAATTCCGTATTTGTAGGACTGCCATTCAGCTTGATTTCAGGTGGTTTTGAATGATGGTTGTTCTGTAGTTTAGTTGTAACTTTGATGTGGTTGTGGGAGGATGCGATACCACGTTTACCTACACCGCCATCTTGACCAGAAATCCTCTAAGTAAATTTTCTTAACATAAAACTGTCCAAATATATTTTCAGCCACTAGATTGTGTATTATGTTAAATTTTATGTATTTTAGACAAATTTTACCTTTTAGTTTATTTTAAACAATATTACTTATTTTTTAAGATATATTTTAACTTTAAAAAATAATTTTAGTTACTGCCAATAAAAAATGAAAACTCAGCCCTGGCCGGTTTGGCTCAGCGGTTAGAGCGTCAGCCTGCGGTCCAGAGAGACCCGGGTTCGGTTCCCGCTAAGGGCACGTATCTCGGTTGCAGTTTGTCCCCGGCCCTGGTTGGTCATGCGTGTGGCAGCCATTCGATGTGTCCCTTTCGCGTCGATGTTTTTCTCTCTCTCTCTCTTCCTCTCTCTCCTTCCCACTCTATCTGAACAAAAAATAGAAAAATGTCCTCATGTGAGGATTTAAAAACAAAAAACAAAAAAACTCAGCCTGGCTGGTGTGGCTCAGTGGATTGAGCATTGTTCCATGGACTGAGAGGTCCTAGTTCATCCCTGATGGGGGTCATGCAGAAGGCAGTTGATCGATGTTTCTCTCTCACATTGATGTTTCCATTCCTCTCCCTTCCTCTCTCTCAAAAAAAAGAAAGAAAATCAGTCACTGGAAATATTTTTTAACATTGTACTTCATCTGATTCACTATGACCAAGGTACTCATTCAGTGAAACAGGCATATTCACAACAGTGGACTTAAATAGCTTTATTCTCTCTCCAAAGCCAGAGAAGGAGTGCTATCGGTGTCCACGTTGGACACTAATTGGACACCTAGTGATCATGAAATGCTGAAATTTTCTTCCCCTTTTGGGTTTCTTTCTATTGTTTGATATGCTCTTTTCCTGAAACTGGGAAAGACACCTCTTTACAGCCACTCTTCTCAGTTATATGATTATCGTACTATTTTCAGGTTTTGTTTTGTTTTTGTTTTTTCAGTTAAAAATTGCTTACTTTATTAAATGTTACATTACTCCTTTTATTTGAGTATAACCTAGCATCTCAGTAAATTCTTTAGGGAAGTAGAAGGCAAGGAGAGGAAAAGAAGAGAAAAGATCAAAGGGAGTTCAATCTTTTTTTTTTTTTTTGAGTACCTACTCTATCCTAGCTGGTGTATTAGGTACACATTCTCTCAGGTGTGCATAATGTCTTAACTTACAATGATCGTTGTCAAGGTAGGTAATGCTTTCCTAGAACACGAGCTGGTTCATGTTACTTGCCAGACAATGGGCTGTGGTGCAAAACCAGTGGTTGTGATGTTGCAGATAGTCATCTAGCTGTGTTCCTTAGTCCCACACAAATGGTTCTTAGCATTCCTTCTTTTACCTTTCTTCATCCTAAAATGTTTACTAGAAACGAGCAGTAGTACATAATATTATCCTTTTATTTGGGTTTTGGTGGGAGTGCTGTGTGTCTATCTTTGTTGCTGTTTTATTTTTGAGATTGTAGGAATTGGTAATTATATTTACTAATTACCAACATTTTATTTTATAAGATGAGCATACTAAAACAGATTTATTGATATTCTTGGAAATGCTTATATCTTTAATAAGAGAAAAATAATTACATAGTGTCCTGATAAACTCCTGTGATATACAAATGTCTCCTGGACTTAAATATATATTTTATATCTTCAAATAAATACACCTGATTTTTATTTTAAAATGTTCATATATAATATCTCATTTCTAAGAATTTATTGGCTATAGTATAGGATTATAGAAAGTAGCATTGTGCAGCCATTTCAACATTTGGATTATTTTCTTCATAGGAATATTTTTCAAGATGTCTTACACAGAGACACGCTAGTAAAAGCCTTCCTTGATCAGGTAAATGTTAAGCTTGAGATTGCTGGAGTTAATGATTTGATATATATGTGTTAATATATCCTACAACACCTGTAAAGTATCTAAATGATTTTTCTTTTGAATTGTTAATGAGGAGTAGTCTAAATACTAACAATTAAAGATGTATCATTCCCCAGTTCAAATAATAAATGTTTTAATTCTGATCACTGACCTATAACTCAAAGTGTTTTCTTCTTGGGGAGTGAGAGGAAAGGGTGTGCGAATATTTTTTATTTGCCTTAATTGAGTCAAAAATGCCTTTAAACCCTATACCCATTTCAATGATAGCATCTTTATTGTTTCCTTCTTTTGAAAATGTCTGCTTAATTAAACATTTGAAGAAAATTATAGATTATGGGACTTATTTTTTAATAAAATAAAGCTTTGTCATAGTATTATTCTGGGGATCAGGTCAGGAAACATTGTCATAGATGTAGCTTTGAAATAATGAGATCCTTAGGTTAACTAGAAATTTTTGATTCAGGTCTATGTGGTCAGTGACATAGGTCAAAGTTCAAGGATAATACCTAGTCATGTAATTCCATACTTTTCAAGCTGAAATAAGATCCTTCTCCCACTATACCTGCACCCTCCTCCATGTCTCCTTCTCCCCTTCCCCGACAAGGGTCCTAGAGGAATATGAATATCTCAAAATCATGATCTAAGCATGGTTCAACTTCTGGGAACTTCAACTTTATTTGAAGATGTGGGCAGAAAAAGTTAAATAATACAACTAGAAGTAACTTAAAATTATGATTTTTAATAATCAAATAAATATACATATATGCTGAAGTAGAAGGATAAGTACTCATTCTAAATATAATATGGAACTGTCAGACTGCATCCGGGAGACATCAGTGGGGAATGATTGGGGAACTGCGCTAATGTGTGTTCCCTGCCAGACACTGTTAATACTGTGATAGACACATGCTGTGTAAGGAGGAGAGCAAAGTATTCATTAAAACACTTTATTTTTCTGTAGGTTTTTCATTTGAAGCCTGGTTTATCTCTCAGGAGTACTTTCCTTGCACAGTTTCTACTGATCCTTCACAGAAAAGCCTTGACACTAATAAAATATATAGAAGATGATACGTAAGTAAAACTATATGGAAGAAAATCCTTTGTGCATCATTTTGTTTTGTTCCCTTTGGACATTTTCTATATTACCTTTTCTTTTTTTTTCTTTTTTTGTAGGCAGAAGGGGAAAAGGCCCTTTAAATCTCTTCGGAACTTGAAGATAGACCTTGATTTAACAGCAGAGGGCGATCTTAACATAATAATGGCTCTAGCTGAGAAAATTAAACCAGGCCTACACTCCTTTATCTTTGGAAGATCTTTCTATACTAGTGTACAAGAACGAGATGTTCTAATGACTTTTTAAATGTATAACTTAGTGAACATATTTTGTCACAATCATAGTTGCTGCTAAAGTAGCTCAGTGGTATGGGACACATCAGCCCCTGGAATCCTCCTCAGCAGTGGCAATTAAATTCACACTACAGTTGTCACAAGAATTCTGCAAGAGGTTGTCATTTGCATTGTTAACAGTGAATGGATCTTTTCCTAGTTGTATTCTCTTGGGATACAGACTTATGTTTACAATTATAATAAATATTGCTATTTGTAGAAAAGATATAATAGTAGAATATAAACTTGACCACAACTACTGTTTTTTGAAACTTAGGATTCATGGTTTATATGTATCAAAGTGGAATCTGAATTACCTTCTAGAGATATAGTACTAGCTGACTTTGCATCGTTTGGTGTTTCTTGGTATATGGGAATACTGTAATATTGCTGTAATCAGCTGAAAACTAGAGCATATAAATCATCTCAGTTCCATGGACAGGAAGTTAACTGGAACCTAGGGTAAACTTGAGAAAGAAAATATTGTTCAAGCAGGTATTTAATTAATGTTAATTGTTAGATCATACTTTGTAGAAGTAGTCATTCAGATTCCATCTGTGTAGAAATATCAATCAGTGTGCAGAGTCTGATTGTGATGAACCACAGTCAGGGTGGTTTTGTTTGTTAAGCTCTATCCAAGAAAATACAGGAAATTGGATTTTATGTTTTAATAGTTGTTGCCAACTTTTTCAATTAATTTTTATTATTTTTGAGCCAAGTGGAAATGTGTACCTTCTGTACCATTTTTTTTTTCCTTGGAGATAATTACTTGGGAGAAGTTTGGATTTCAGTAGTCAGTCACTGCCATCTTGTTCTCCTCTCTTATAGTCTTACCTTGATTTGGCAATCATTGTAATTCTGAGATTATTAAATGCAATAGAGAATATAACGTCTTTTTTAGGAATAGAGAATAGTATTTTGTCTTACATTTCTACACATATTTTTAAAGTTGCTGCCATTTGTCTCTGCCCGCATTGTATGAGGAGTAGCAGGAGAAACTTTACTGACGTGCTATTTTACTAGATACTACTCTGGCAGAACTGAGTGGGCTATTTCTTTTGTTTTTTTAATGTGTTTGGACCATTTTGCTAGCTATAAAATAACTAACATAATTCTGTGCAAGAACAGTGTTGACACAGTAGTAGTATATGTCAGCATAAAAAATATATTATTTAAAACTGTGAAAGTAACACAAAAGGGAAAAAATATAAGAAAGGGATAAAAGTGATAGAGCCCCTCTGCCCTTTACCCAAATTTAACCAAAAGTATGTTCTGTTCTGAAAAGTCCTTATAGCCTTTTACATCACTAATAAGAAAGATGTAGGCATCTGATTTTGACACACATTGAACTATACGACTGATGCTCAGTCATGAAAAAATACACATACCACCTCATTATACCCTGTACTCAGTGTTTATTACATGACAGGTTATTTAAGTGCTGACTGATTTTCTTTTTTTTTTTTTTTCCTGCTGGTTTATTGTATTGTTATATAGAATGCAAGTTGTACAGTGGAGTAAGTTATTAAAGCATGTGTAAACATTGCTATGTATATTTTTCTCCTATAAGGAGAATTTTGAATAAAATGTCTGAAATGCTGTTTCTTACAGTTATTTGTTTAGAAACGCGAGGCTATGATATGGAAAGATGGTTTTCTTGGTCAGCCACAGTCATATTAAATCTAAACATTTTTCTTTCGAAAGAAAATACAAGTAAGGTTCTATATGATGCTGGTGAGAGGGAGCAGAGTTTGCCATCCTAAAATAGGCCTTTTGGGATATTGATTATTTTAAGCTGGTTATTTTTAAGAAACAAAAGACTCAAAAAGTACCTTTGACCTTCCCCCAACTATCTAAAAACATTTAGATAGAGGACCTGTACCAAGATATCATCGTAATTAACTACAGTTTAATATAAACCAGGTGTGATAAGCCAGGAGGCACCTAGCAAGGCCCTTTTGATTCAAGTCTGTGTCCCATCGTTAAAGTTGGCCCAGCAAACATTTATTTACCAAACATTTGCTTTTCCATCCTCATGTGAATTGCTTTCCTGCCCTTTGAAGTCCAAAGCCACAACCCTTCCCCCTTTCTTACCTCAAGGTGGCATGTAGGCCTTCACTGCCTGGTACATCCTGGGATGTCATATTCTTAGGGAACCCCATATGTTTCTCTGTCTCATTTAATTTGGTTATTCTATCCAGAAAAATTTAGAAGGTAGAGGAAAATTGTTTTTTTCTGCCCCCACACTAGAATCTTACGTTGTTGTATTGTTTTGTCTTTTACAAAAAGCCTTTCTGCTTAACTTCTGGGATTGTATTTTGACATTTGAAGTTTATATTTTTATATTTTAATATTTCGAATGTAAGGTAATTGTTGGGTAATTAGTTTTTCAAATGTCTGCTATAATAATATTGATATAACCTAAGGTGAAGTTATTCCTCCCAAATATCCAGTATAGGTGTCCAAAATGAATGTGGGAGGATTCTAAACCCTTTAATTCGGAAAGCAAGTAAGATTTGGCAGTTTTACATCAGGAAAAAGAAATTCATAGATACAACAGTTGAGTTGAAAAGTTTCTTTAAATGAAGATATGATTTGTCACATAGCTAAGATTCTCAAAGAAGAAACCAAACCTTATGATTTCATTTTTTCTCTTTTGCTGGCTCATTAGCTGTAACTCTTTGTTTTGTTATTTTAGGGATATAGCAAGTGATATACCACTTGTCATATTCTCTTAAGTGTATAGTATAAGAACCTTATCATAGTATACTTACATTTCTCCCTTCTCATCTGTGTGCTGTTGTGACCTCACATTTTCCTTCTACATATAAGCTCCATACTTTATTTGTATTTTTGCTTAAGCAGTCAATTATCTTTTAAAGGGCTTAAGTATAAATACGCTAAACGTCCCAATGAAAAGGCAGAGATTGTCAGATTGGATTAAAAAAACAAAAACAATATCCAACTATATGCTGTGAACAAGAAACTCATCATAAAAAATAAAGGGCAAACATTAAAAGTAAAAGGATGGAAAAAGATATTCCATACTAACACTAATCAAAAGAAAGCTGGAATGGCTATATTATTAATATCAGGCAAAGTAGATTTCAGAGCAAAGAATATTGCCATCAATAAAGATAAGTTTATAATGCCAAACATCTTGCTGATGATCTGCAAGAGGCCATAACAGTCCCCAAGTGCTTGTTCATCTAACAACATCTTCAAGAATACACAAAGCAAAAACTGATGGACCTGTAAGGAGAAATAAATCTACAATTACTGTTTAGAGATTTGAATATCCCTCTGTCAATGTTTGATAGAACAGGAAAACACAAAATAGGGATAGAGAAGACTTAAACAAACTATCAACCAACTTGATATAAGTGACATTTGTAGCACACATCAGTACCTGACAATAAGCAATTACACATTCTTTTCAAGAGCATAAGGAACATAGTCCAAGACAGACCATATTCTGAGCCATAAAACAAGTCTCAATAAACCTAAGAGGATTCAAGTTATATGAAGTATAGTCTGATCACATGGAATTAAATTAGAAATGAATAACATATCTAGGGAAACCTCGAATGGCTGGAAACTGGCACATTTAAAAAATTAGATAATTTCTAAGTTGTGTGTTGGGGATAAGGATGGATTGGAGATTAGAAGGGAAGGCAGTCAGTATTATGGCATGATTTTTTTTTCTTTATTGACTTTAGAGAGAGAAACATCAATGAGAGAGAACATCAGTTGGCCACCTCCTTCGTGCCCTCACTGGGGATCAGGCCCACAACCTGGGCATGTGCCCTGATCGGAAATCGAACTGGCAACCTCTTGGTGCATCGATCACTGCTCAACCGCTGAGCCACACCGGCCGGGCGTGGCATGATTTTTATGAGTGGAACTCATCCTGCTTTTGATGTCTGCTCCCCTGTACTCATATTTCACATGGATAACAGCATGATCCTTGTAAAGTTAAATCTGATGATCACTTCTGTGTAATGGCTCTGTATCATTTATGAAATTAAATCCAAAATCTTTGCACCACAGTTTCTGTTCATTCCCGGAACTTCACTTTTCACTTTCTCAGCCCCACTTCCCAGTACGTTCTTCTGTTGCATCTGTTATACTGTGCTGCTCTGTCTCCACCAGCACTCAAGAACAACATCCACGTCCTTTTCATTTCTGTCCAGTGCCTACTGTGGTGCCAGGCACAGGGCAAACGTTGAATGAATGTAATGAGTGTATTAAACATTATTTTCTTTATCCTCTCCAAAAAGAGTTCCTGAAAATTAAGGAAATTGCTTTCTTTATGTAATCAGGAACTCCCCCCCCCCCCAGAAAGTCCTTCATTAAAATTGAGCCTATGCACAACCTAGCTCTAAAATTTCAAAGACTTGACGGCAGTGATTTTCAGTCTTTTCCAAGTAATAATACCCTATCATTTTCTGTTTCTGCATTTGTGCCTCACTATCTCATCTCTTGCTGAAATATTTTTTTAATTAATAGCTTGATAAATTGCTAAGCAGGCTTTCATCAGACCAATTAGGACAGTTGCAAGTATCTATCTTCAGAGTGTGGACATTAAGAAATTTGATCCTGTCTTTAGAAAATCATTCCCGAGCTCAGAGTTGGCTCAGACTGGCACCTTCTGGCATTTGCTTGTGGGTGGGGAATGTGGAATGCTTTGAAATCTGAATGGATTTGTCAAGTTTCAAAATACCCTTATGGCTAAAGGAAAACAACATTCATTGTTTAAAAACACCATTGTTTGTTTTTTCTGCTTTTCTGTTCTTTGGAGCCTGAATCAGTAAAAACATTCACGCCCAACATTTTGCTTCATGTACTACCTCTCCTTGTACATTTCTGGAGACATGAGAGGCATGGAAACCTTTTTTGTGATTGTTTCAGAATGTTCTGAACAAATTGAAAAAGTTCTTTTTAATGCTTTTGGTGAATTTTATGGAGCAGGAACATATTTCTATCATTGTAGGCATACCGTAGAGTTGATAATTTGGGTCGTTGGAGTCAGACTTCCAAGGCTTAAATCCCTGTTTTTCATTTAGCTCTGTGACCTTGGACAAGATATTCAACCTCTCTGTGCTGCCTGAATGTCCTCATCTATAAAATAGGAATAAGAATAGAACCTACACCATCGGGCTGTGTGAAGAATAAGTGGGTTAATACATGCAGAATGCTTGGAAGGGCAACTGGCACAGAGTAAGAGAACAATAAAATTTAGTCATGGCTGTGATCATTTTATCATTGTCATTATCATTAAGCAACTGAATGTAGAGTTCCCAGTATCTGATTATTAAACCACAACAATTCCACAGTCGTGATTCTAGGTGATGCCATATCAGTAGCAGGATTATCTTATTACCCTGTACCCATCCCTACATCATAAGCAGAGAGTTTTGCTTTAGGAGAAAGTCATTCTAGGGAATGAGAGAGAGGGCTGGTGAGGTGCTATCCAGAGGCCTCCCCCCAATTTTCAAACCTGTCCACTCTGTCTCCACTGCACTATTAGAGCTGCATCGCTTCTCATCCAGGTTAACTCGACAGCTTTCTCCCTTCCAGCCTCCGTGATTCCACCCACTGACCACTGTCACTCCTCTTGCCAATCCATTTCTTCACGGAAGGCAGTGTGAGCTTTCTAACATAGTCTCCCCTTTGATGTCCTCACTCACTTGCTTTTAAAACCCCCCCAGTGACAACCTTTGACATGACATAAAGCCTGCAACCCGTGGTGAAGCACGGGGCTTAGGGGTCTGACACCAGCAAACCTCTCCACCCTCTTCCTCACCATTCACCCCGTCATGGGAGCCCTGATGAACTACCTGCAGTTTTCCTGCTCACAATCCACTCACCGCTGGCCGATGTACCCCCTTCCCATGGGTAAATGTGCACTTGTCAGTTAGGATTCACCTTAGGTTGGTGCCATGTTTGTCCAGGCCCCTCCCTCCACTTCAGATCTAAAGCATTCCAGACTTCAAGCTCCACAAGGCAAGGACCATGTCTGTGCACGAGCTTTTACCTAATTGCCTGGCACATCATGTTTATTAAATATATGTTGAATTAATTACCCTCTATTCAGGGCTCTTGTAGGTTTCTGTGCTTATAGTCCTAACATACCAGTTAACTCACTATGCATCATTATTATAGGTTGCTCGTTACACTGAGCACCACAAAGGCTGGTTCTTGGGATTTACATCATTGTGTGCCCAGTTTCCACCACACTGTCTGCCGTGAAGCAGGAACTCAGGAAGTTCTGAAAGGATGAGCAGTATCTACATATCATCCGTCTCTGGTTTAAAATGTCCCCAAATTCTGAAGCAAGAGGATTTATGGACCCCCTTGGCAGTTCATGATGTTATCCTGATGATACCCCTCATAGTGTAAGCCAAAAGTTTGCATGTTATGTACATTCTTCTGGGCAGAGGGTTCATAACTGCCTTCA